CACCTGCTCAGTATTTCTTTTCCTGCCCTTTTCCAAACAGTTTCCTACGAGGACCTCCCAGACGGTTCCGTGCAACAAACCATCTGGTACCAACTGTACTTTATGTTTACAACTAATTGGCGAATGTTGACGCGCTAAACTACGATGCGGAACATGGTAAACATGATACCTGCTAAACATCCGCATATAAACCAACGTATTATTGTGCGCATGTTAGCTGATGTTAGCCCTTAGCTCAGAGCACCACTGTGCCTGAGGGACAGCCTCTCTGAGCTGGCGTTACTGCTGACTTTCTTCTTGTTATTGCTTTACAAATGAACAACCTGCATCACCTGCATCTGAAGGAAAGCGGGGCAAAGAGCACACCGTTTGTTTGTGGCGTGTTATTCGTGCCCTATGACCCCTCGCATTTCTGAGATTAGTCTTGTTGATCACCTCGGAAACAAGGCTTTCCGCTGTGTCAAACTGGTCAGGGAATGGGATAAGTCCAACTCCAGATAATCCATAAGATCCTAAGGTCCACTGGCATTCTTGTGAGTCGTGGAGGTAGAGCAGCTGTATGTGTACGGCTCTGTAATAGCATGTGTTGGCCAGCATTAACGCAGTATGCTCGGTTGGCTGGTTTTCACCATTTCAATGAACCCTTGTCAGCGTCTGTGTGAGTGTGTGTTTGTTTGCGTGGGGTTACCCTCAGCACAAGCCATCTGCAGGCGGTGGGGAGGGGGTTGGGGTGGAGGGGGACGCGACTGGGGACAAGGCAGCCTGTAACGGGAGCAGCGGGGGGCTTGAAGGGCCGTGCTGTTTGCAGGTCGACCAGCCGCAGTTCACCCAGAGGAAATCTCATGTTCCTGCCAGCCTACAAAAGTAAACAGATCTGCAACCACCGAGCGCTGGCACCGGGCCTGGGCCACCGGCGCTATAACTAGAGGAATGAATCACATCACACACACATTCACTGGCCCAAATGCAGACGCACGGTGAGGCGCGCATTCGGAATTCTGGATGGCTTTTTCACATTTTGTACGTGAAATAATTCCTGTCCCATTGAAACGACGATTTCGGTCAGCTCGAACTTCTGTGTAACCGCAGTGTGTTCCCCTCAGTGACATGACACACATGCCCTCCATAAGCTGTGAAGTGTTTTATTTTAAACGCATCCACCCTCCAACTGTTGCTCCATTCAATATTTTAGATAACATCTTTTAGCCACAGAGTTCTGAAACCTCCCCTCTCTTTTATGTTCCCTTTTTCCTCTCTCCTCTGTTTTCCCTCTCTCTGCTTTCTCCCTTGTCTACACATCTGCGGTTATTTATCTGTTATTCTGCGGCAGCAATGTGGTCAACATGTGTCTGGCTTCCCTCCACGCACCACTCATCTGTAGTCAACTTAGGAATCACCGAAGGACCATAGTAGACCTACCAAGCTCCTTATCGTTCATGCCACAGTGGGTACTCACCGCACGGATGGATAGAGTGTCTCCTTGCTTATACACATGAACATTAGTACATCCGCTGCTAATTGTGTCCCACTTTTGACCTAATGTTCTATTGTCAATGCATAACCAGGCTTTTTTTTTTTCTTCCTCTTAGGTCAATGGGAGCATGAGAGTGGATGATAGACACCATGACCTACAGGAATTAGAGTATCTGAGAGGAGTATTTGGATTGCCTAAGCCTATGGATTTGCATTACCCCGACCTTTGGACTTTTAATCTCAATGTTATTTAATCCTCTGGAAAGAGTATAGCTTCAGACAACATGATGGGTGGAATAGATCAACCTAGATACCACAGTGGAGATGGGTGACAGTGATGGTGGCTGTTAGTTAAGGCATGCAGGGGCTTAAGAGGTTAAATGTGTGTATTAGCAGGGCTATTTTGTCTTGAGTGGTTGAGAGGAACCGTGTGTATAATTTCGATATCCAGCTTCTGGAATCGGAATTTAAAAGGACATTTCTAGCCAAAAACCGCCATCCCTCATCCCTCTTGCTCCTGCTTGGACTTGTAACTA